CTCTCCATCTTTGGTTCCAGCCAAATACTAGGAAAACACCTCCATGGTAATTATTACTAGAGAGTCTTCTAGACTCTCATTTCGCATTCAAATCATACCAGAGAGTTGTAAACATGTTAGTTTAATTGTTAATATTAAATACCAGTTACCAAGACAAAAATAAATAAAATGGAGTTTAACCTTGTTACTCTATTGTTAAGCAAGCAATCCAAGGAGGCCTTGTGAGATGAGCTCTGAGCTGGTTATTGACTTCTGTTCAGGATTTGGTACCAGTGAGTCCCTGAATTGCCAAACTTGCTATAATAAGGATGGTTATTCATTTTCAGACAATAGGGCCAGTGACAGAACGCTTAGAAGCTAAGCACAGGGAAACATTTGTTCTAGAAGATGCCTAGAAATTGGTCTAATAAGTGAGCCTTAACAACAGCTAAAATTTGTGTGGATAGTAGAAAAATATAAATTTTCGGATGGACCTTGCTTTGCACCTTAACTAGAAACATGATAGGGACAAGTAATTTAACCTGTCTAGGCCTCAATTTCCTCATCCATGAAATAAAGAGGCTAATATTCAGTTTTCAGGTTGTTACAAGATTTAAACATAATAGTAGTAATTTTTCCAAAATTATGTCTAACGCATTACATACCACCAACAAGCAATATTTGTAGAGGCTTGTTATTACATTGTTTTCTAAAATCCAGGACAACATTGATTATGACTGCTCCATTAATTTAGTAGAAGTGCTTTGCAGGAAAAAACAAACAAAAACAAAAACAAAACTTAAAACCCAGGAAAACCTCATTATCACATTAAATCAACCCATCCAAGGCAAGAATGAAAAACAAATTACTCTTAGAGTTGAGAAATACAACATTATCCATGGCTACCTCATATTGTATTGTTAACTAACCTTGATAATATTGCTCCGCTGTCCATAAATGATAGCTTATTCTCTGAGTCATCATCATGGCCCGTTTACAGGGTTTTAACTTTGCTGTAAGCTTTGGTCTCGTTTCCTAAGTTCATACTACCCCAGTTGGTTTGTGATAAAAACAACTTTGACCAGTGATGACAATGAGACTGTAACAGAACATGCTGAGAGAAGCAACTGATTGGAGGAAATAAAGTAGAAAGAGAAATTCAAAGAACTGAGAGGTGATGTCGAAAGAAATGAGAAGGGAAATTAAAATTAAAACAAGACCAAATGCAGAAACTACCGAAGAATACCAAATGTGAAGAGTGATCTGAGAAAAAAACAGTACTGTGTCTTGTGATTTATGACCTTTTTCAAATCAGCAGATAATGAGGGCATTGGAGAGGGTGAGTGATGGGCAGAGATACAGAAGCCTGGCTGGGAGGGTAGAGAACATGAGATGGTGGCTGAGGTTGTAGTTTCCAAAATGAAATATCTTGGATCAAGTTAAAGGGTGGGAGGTAAATGATTTCTTTATTATTTCACTTCCAGTACTGTCTGTCTTCCTCTTCACCATTTCAAGCAAAGCTAGGTGAAGTGTAAGCAGGCATCCATGCTCTTCTGAGGAAACCATCTAGCAAATGCCAGCCATACTTTAGCTCTGAGCTCCAAACTTATGGAAAGCATGTATTCATACTTATGGAAACTAGACTATAACAGCAGAAACTCAGAATTGCCTGCTCCGTACAGAAGAAATTTGCCATATAAGTTATTCCAGAAAAGTTACCTTAAATGATTTCAGAAAATTGACACAAGTGAGTGATGTCACCCAGGGAACAAGGAACACTCAACTGCCTTCTCAAAACAAACCCCAGTAGAAGAAAAACATTAGCCTTCTACTCTGGACGGGAATAAGCCCAATACTTCTGGTTTCTTCTGTTGTTCATTGCATATTTTCTCCTCTTGATAAAATTCAGACCTATACCTATTAGACCTTCCAGAAATTACTTTTTTGTCTGCTTTATAGAATAAATAGTAGATATCAGACAGGAATTTCCTCGACTTCCTGCTGTCAAAAGTAGAAATCTACCTATATTTATATTCATTTTTTTCTCTTTTCTGCTGTTATATTGAGAAAGGTGCCACTTTACTTTATCGGAGGTAAATCCTACCACCTGTACATGCTCTATCATTCGTGTTCTCTCGGGGACCTTGTTAGAAGGATTAAATTCTCCTGTTCCTTAAATTTTTCTTTCTACTAATTCTTAGCACTTACATATGCTCAGGTGTCAACTCAGAAATCTGTAGCAGGTCCAGAAGCTAACTCAGTATTTCCCCTTGGATGTCTCAGACGCTGCAAACTCAATATGTTCAAGAGTGAACTCACCGTTTGCCTCCCATGAATTTCCCACTCCTTCCCCGTCCCCTCAACTTCTCAATCTCAGAGGAATGACCCCATAACCCAACCAAATATATAGCTATAAATCTGGAAATTATTCCTGATTCCTCATTTCTGCCCATAGCCAATGGTTCAGCGAATCTTGTTGGATCTCTTTTCAAAATATATTCTACAGCCAAACACTCTCCATCTCCATTATCACACTGGTTTAGATAACCATCACCATTTGCCTGAATGGTTATAATTGACTACTAACAGATTTCCCTCTCATCAATGTAGGTCTTTACTAACCTCTTCTCCATACTGCGGTTAGAGTGATCTTTAAAACAATCCAAATGTGATCATGCCACTCTTCTTTGGCCTTTAAAACAATGGTTTCCCAGTGTGCTTCAGATAAAGTCCATACTCCTCAATATGGCTTACAGTACTGTTCATGAGCTACTCCTACTGACTTCTTAGTCTCATCTCTTGCCACAGTGAATACTTCAGTCATTCTAAATGTCTTTCAACTTTTCTTAATTGTCATCTTCCCACCACTCTTTGCCTAGCTTACACTTCTCTGGCTCCTGCACTAAATTAGCGCACCACTTCTTCATAGGATACTTTATTGTGATCACTTGTTTAATTCTTTGCTAGAAAATAAGGGCAAGAAATGTGTCTGTGTTGCTCACCAATGTATCCTTCTCTCTGTTCACCCCTAACTTCTTCTGCCTGCTCCTCTGGTACCTTGCTTAGTATCTGGCGTCTAATAAATGTGGAGTAGTTGTCAAGTAAATTAACTACCTTTCAGAGTTTTGTTATCATTTCTCTTACTGAACTCATTCATCTCGATTCTCCAGGGGAGTCTCAGAGAATATAATCACAGAACTTTTTAAATCTCATGTCTGTGGTGAGAAAGGGAGATAAAGCTTGAATGTTGCCAGAATAACAAATGCTATTGCACCTGAATCATTGATCTTTAAGGCTTAAAGGTTTGTGATAATTACCACCCATTTTTACAAAGGATTTATGCATTTAGAGAAAACCCCTTGTCTTCCTAAGAAGGTCCTATGAATGTAAAGACATATATATGGTCATATATACCAACATATATATAAAGACAGTACCTGCCATTTAGGAGGGAAGAGCCTTCAAGGCTTTTTATTTCTCTCAGGATAGAGATAATGTTATAGATAAGACAATCTTCAGAAATTCTAATATGGCCAACCTCATTTTAAAACTGTTACTTAATAGGTATACTATTTCACCTATAATTCTGTAATCCTAAAGCCAGGAGGGAACTTCACTGTCATTTTGTCATATTTCCTAGAAACCGTCTGGGAATTTAGTCTACAGCATCTCTGACAGTCATGACCTTACCTTGGCTGGAGAACTTTCAGGAATGGGATTCCTTTGCTGATGAGGCCACTTGCCCCACTACCAGATGTTCTAGTGTCAGAATAGTTTTTCTTCTACTTCCTTCTCCCTTCTCCAAACTAACATCTCTCTCTCTGTCACTTCTATATGTTGGTCCTCTCCTTCAACACAAATCCTCAACTTAAAAGCCTTTAATAATGAAAAGGAAGGAAAGAGAGAGGTAGTGCAGGCAAAGGGAGACATCTTCCCTGAGCACCCAGTGTTTCGCAGGCCACATGGTGGGTACATTTTATATGCTACCTCACTAACTCCTTAGACAATCTAGTAAAGTAAGCAGTATTCATAGCCCTTTACTCAGAGATAAGTACCACTTTCCTCATTTGGTTATCTTAATGTTAAAATCTAGTTGTTGTTTTTTTTGAGTCTGAAAGTTCTAAGAGCCTGAGGTGCTAATGTATATCTGTGAATAGGCAGTGACCTGGAATTGACTCCTTTTCACAACTTCTAAAATTGGGAGCACAGTTCTTCTTGTCCTAGGCAAACTCACAAGGATTTTTTTGAAGACAGAGGCTTTGGCAATCACGTTAATGGAAGTCTTTTTGCCGCTGAGCACATCATGGTCTCTGGAAATGACACCCAATAGAACTCTATTGCCCTTTGGGAGTGAGAACTTCTCTCTGAGAAATGAGTCAAGCCCTGGGGAAATTTTGGCTTATTGTGTTCTTTCCAGACTTGTGAGAAAATATCTATGCTGAGGAGCAATAATTTTCATTGTAGCCAGGGAACACCTATCAACACTAAAACAACCCCTAAACCATTGGGAGACTAAACAATGTGGCCAGAAATAACATTGACATTCACGGTGAGACAGTCAGGAGTGATTTAGAGTCAGAGTTTGAGGATCATCACAACAAACTGCTTTAGAGATTTACTAACATTCCAAAGTCAGTGTTTGGACATTCTCAGTGAGTAACCTGTACTGATATAAGTATATTTGGATTAAAGTATAAGTATATTGGGACTAAAATAATATTTTGCACTATGTGTATACATTTTGCAGTCAAATGCTCTGCCCCTGAGCTATTACACCTATGTGGATACATTTTGATATTGCCACATTTGTAGGTTGTTAATAGGCTGAATTTTTTTTAAAAACTGCTTGATTTAAAAAATATCAAGTCCTAACTATTTTGACTGGGTTTTTTTTCTTTTTAATTGATTTTGTGGGTCAGATTTAGACAAAAGTCTCAAAAACCACCTGTAATTCAAGTTTGTTAGAAGTGCTTTAACACCATGTGGATTCTTGGGGGTTTCTATTATTTGACTCTGTCTAGGGATTTCTTTCTGTTCTTTTATCAGGTTCTCCAAAGGACTTACTATTTAAGTTGGATAAGCCAGTACTGCAGACTGCATTCTCAGTTCACTTTCCAGTGATGATAGCTGCCCTTAAAATTCTTTCAGAGCTGGAAATCGATCTGTGTGGAACCAATAGGTAGGTATTTCTTTAAACTATTATAGGTTAGGTAAGAAACTCTACAAAGCAAATACGCCTAGAAAAACTAACAGAAACATGCCATGATATTAACAATAGTTATCTTTGGATGATGAGATTATGGGTAAATTTTCTTCCTTTCCTTTTCTGTACTGTCTATTTTAAATGATGAATATATTGCTTTTATGATAAATAAGGTTCACTTTTGGAAAAGCAGTTGTAGACACAATAACATCCCCATATGTGAAAGGAGATCTCAGGTAAATGCAGGTGACAGAATGCTAACCAGGGATGTAGACACATCTACTGATTATAGAAACAGATTGTAACCAGATCGCCTGGCCCACGTGGCTCTCATGTGCTGGCTTCTTGGCAGATCACAAATATAACTCCAAACATGGTTGACAGGGTTTTGGTACCAGGTTATTTCTGACCCCTTGGGAAGGTCAGCACCTTCTCTAAACAGCTCAGCTGCATAATTTTAGATTTGACCTCAGAAACTAGTTTAGTTAATCTAGGCAGTTTGGTTCTAAGTAATCCATCTATTATTCAGTAACAAGAGTTAATAAGATAAAAAAAACATCTGTATATACATGAAGGTAATCAAACTTCTCAATTGCCCAATCTTGACTTTTAATGGGATTGACAGAATTTACATTAGTGAAATCAGAGAAGTGTTGCCCCAAAACGTCATGGAAGAGGAACCAAGTGCTTATTACGAATATAGGCAGATTCTATTAAGTCTAGAAAGTTGGCAAGAACTTCTGGCTAGTGATGTTTACTAAAAGCTGACTTAAGTTAGTAAAACAAACTAAAAATAACCTCTTCAGAATTTATAGTACACATTTATACAAATATACACATATTCAAAGACAAGCTTTTTACAATTTTTATTTTATTCATTTCTTCATTCATTCATCCACTCATTCATTAATTTAGCAAATGACTTTATGAGTATCTTCTACACATATGCGAGAGGAAAAATCTTAGGAGTTGGGGAATACACCAGAGGGAAAAAACACAAAAATCCCTGTGTTCATGGAGCTTAGGTTTATAGTGCTAAAGAGATTGGAAAAACAAATAAACAAGTAAAATATATAATATGTCAGATGTGTATGTGTGTTAAGAAAAATAAATCCAGGAAGTGAGGAAGGGCATGCCAAGTGGAAGGTGGGCATGCTGAAAGAGATGTTGTTTTAAATATGGTGGTCAAGAAAGGCCTTACCGATAGAGTAACTTGGTTAAGAAATGTAAAACAGTGGGCTCTAGATAGCTTTAATAACCCATCTGAGCAGCAGAATTGGGAGACTATCAATCTATGGTTTCCGTTATTTTTATTGTACATGTCAAGCAACCCTTCTTTTTATGCTCTAAGAGTTGTAACTTCAGAACAGGAATATGGTTCTTTTTTTAAAAAAAGATTTTATTGGGGAATTGGGGGTGGGGAATAGCATTGGGCGTTGGGGAATCAGGGAAGGAGAACAGACAAGTTGCTGTCCGTTTGTTCTTCAGTCTAGTTGTAGAGGAAACCGCTTCACTGGCCCATGCTGGTATTATCATTGCACTCTTCCCTGGTGAGGCAGATTAGTTGCCGCTCACAGTGGCTCTTGGCAGCTCACGCTGGCTGCTGGCTGCTGGCTGCTCATGCTGGCTGCCAGCCACTCACAGTAGCTTTACAGCAGCCCACTGCAGCCCCACTGCAGCCTACGCCATCTCTGGCAACTCACGGCAGCCCAGCTCCAGGTCAAACTGTTGTTCACCATCTTAGCTGTAGAGGGCACAGCATCCCTGGCCCTCATGTGGGATCTGAACCGGGGCCCTGCTGCTCAGAGCTGGTGTCCCAAGCCAGCTCTTAACCAACGCGCCATTCGGCCGGCCTGGGGAATATGGTTCTTATATAGAAATAATACACAGTAAACTTGTTTCCTTCGGAGTGATGTACCTGGTGAGCAGACTCACTCAAATGTCACTCTTCAGTGTCCCATTGAACTAATACAACCATACATATGAACATTAGTTGTTTTGTTTGTTTGTTTGTTTTCTATTTGTTTATGTGTTTGTTTTCTGAAGTGAACTGTAAGTCCACTGAAGGCAGGAATGGGACAATGAATTTGATCATCTTGGCAGCCTCAATGCCGAGCCCAGTGCCAAGCACATGTCAGGGGCTCATTGATTACCAGTTGAATAAATTAATTTTGAAAGTAAAATAGACAGTGACTTCAAACGGTTCATAAGATGGCCACATTTACCTACTAAACTGTCCAAAGTGAATAACTGTCATGTCATAATGACCTCTGGACTTCTTCATGCTCTATGTGAACCTGGTATCAAAGACTTGATCTGTAAAATAAAATGATGATGTGTCCCCAACAGGGATACGTTCAGTATAAGCAACCCTGAGAGATTGTTTAGAACCATATTTTCCATAGGACAGTGCTGTAAAATAAGACAGCTGTCATCTCCACATTTTTCTTCTACCTCTGTGACAGATAATCTAGTTTATATCTTCTTTCTGAGATGATATGGAAGAGTGATATTTTTCACACTAGATTAGGGGACAACATTATGACATTTTATGATATCCACACTGGGGGGAATAATAAAAGGGAAAAAGGGAACCCAAAAGTTTGATTTTATAATAGAGTCCTGATTCTAAGTCTTAATAATCATTCTGTGATTTTGGACAAGCTGCTGAATCTTTGTGAATCCTGTGACTTTATCTGTAAACTGGGAATAATAATTACTACCTCACAGTATTATCATGAAGATCAAGTTGGATAATATATGTAAAGCATTTGGTATTGTGCCTGGTACAGAATGTGGGTATAAATAAATTATTGTTAATATTTGTACTACTGATAATAGTATTACTATTGGAGAACTTAGGCAAATAAGATTTTCTTTTGCCAGTTGTTCAACATTTATATGATCACTAAGAATAATGCTCCTAAATATATTTGCATTTCAAAATTTATCTCCCTTCATATACCTATAATAATATCAAACCCAGTAATGTGTATAATATTCCTGGATCTTTTATCACTTAAGAATATGGATAAAGGGTAAAATGTTGTTTCCAAAACTATTTCAACTGCAAAATGAAATGGTATTTAGTAGGGAACATCTCTGTGATCACAGAGCACCGTACATGATAAGGGACAGCTTAGCAAACATTTTGCCAGTATGGTGGTTGATGTAGTCTCTGTCACTTTGATCCTCTTTTTGCAAAAAAATGCAGTCAATGAAAGTCATCTTTTCAGGTAGGAAAGTGATGATTTAATGGGGCCTGAACTCTAGTCTGACAGCTTTCTGTTCTTGTTTCTTTATAGCTTTGAAGTATAACTAAGGACAGAGACCACCACTAGGCACAAACATCACCAGCCTGCATGATAATGGAGATTGTCTGTCTGATGCTGAAAATGTCTCTAGTTTTTTGACAACGGTTAAGTAACCATGGGGTCAAGTGGACTTGGGAAAGCAGCCACATTGGATGAACTGCTGAGCACTTGCATTGAGATGTTTGGTATGAGCCTTTTAACCCCTTTATATATCTTGATACTATCACTGCCTCCTACTCAGAGGCAAGTGTTGCTATGGAACAGAATTCAATCTCCATACCTTGATATTTAAGGCCTTTTTGATTTGATAAGGCCCAGAATGTCTCCCCAGTATCATGACCCTCTGCATTTCCTTCCCTTTACTGCCCGCAGCTCATAACCCACAGTGTCCACTTAAAGTTTCTGGAACTTTCCTTGCCTTTTTCTACTTTCCTGCCTTTATCAAACCCCTTTCACTGAGATTCTGCTTCAGGGCTTATCTCAGATGTCACCTCGATGTTCATAATACCATTCCTAGTCTCCCCTGCCAGCGATGTTTCCTCCACCCTCCCACAGCCCACTGTAACTCTCTAATATCACATGGCATATATTCTGCTGTGATGATTTCTTGGTTTTTTGGCTTAGACAAGTGTGGGTAGCACAATCTGCTGCATTCTATGTGTGCGTATATGTCTTATATCTCCTACTAGGTTATAGAATTGACAGTTATATGCTTTTTATGTTGTTTATGGATCCATTTCAACAATTTGAGTTATTCTTTGCACAAAGAGTCACTCAGGAGTTGTTTGTTGAATTGATTTTATAGGAAGAGTTAAACCAGAGTAAGGTTGCCAGATAAAATACAAGATAATCAGTTAAAATTGAATTTCAGGTAAACCACATTTTCAGTATAAGTATTTCCTAAATAATGCATGGGACATACCTATACTAGAAAACTACTTGTGGTTTACCCCTAATTCAAACTTAACTAAGTATCCTGTGCTTTTATTTGCTAAATTCTGGCAACCCTAAACCAGAGGAAGGGTGAGACCTACCCACTTAACTTGCAAGAAAATACCAGCAGAAGTAGGAGAAAAATGATAATTGGGTCCATGAGAAAAATTTTACACTAATGTTTTTCTACTGATATTAAAAAAGGGAAGAGTAGTAGTGTTACCTTCTCACCCCTCATTTTATTTTATTTTTTAACAGATGACAGTGGAGAGCTGAATAATAGTTATTTGCCAAGAATAGTTCTACTGATGCACCGATGGTATTTATCTTCCACTGAATTGGCAGAAAAACTTCTCTGCATATATCTTTTCAACTACTGTGTCATTTTCACAAGCATAAGTCAAGTTGGATATTTATGTAGAGAGAGTGTCTAACCAAAGCCAGTAAATTAAAATGAATAAACAGTCTTCAGTCAGTTATCCAGCTGTTTTGTGAATATAGATAGATGTCTAGACAAAACATCTGGATGATAGACCAAATGGTTGACTATCCATCTGGATGTTTTGGCTCTACTTGAAAATAATCACTAGTTGTAAAATGAAATAAGAGCTGTAAGCTGAGTGTTTTTAACCTGTCTTAAACATTTCTGCTGTTAGAACAATGAAAGAATATTTAACATTGATTCAAGACCTAATTGATTCCTCTTAGAATGGCAAAATGGTGGACCTAGAAGATACAATTTAGATACTTGGAAATGCCAGCCAAAATAATATGATCTGGCTCAGGCACAAACACCATGAAGTTTTTAGATCTTCCCTTGCTGGCAAGACACACAAAGAAACATGCTAGCAGGTTTATTGTAATTTGTTGATTGATGTTAATTTTAGATTTCCTTCTGACGTAAGAGCAAAAAAAAAAGAAACCAAGCCCCATATTCTGTAAGGGCTTTCAGCAGTGTGTCAACTTTTGTACATAATACAATCCTAAAAGGTGGTTGAAAGTCAAATGACTGAAAATGGCAAAATAGTCTCACATGTGTAAGGTTTCATTCCTCAATATCTAATGTTTATGCAATTTTTACTGTTGGTTGCCACAGCCTGTGCCTGCTTCAAGTCCAGAAAGCCCTGCAGATGAGTGAGAAATCCTACAGGACAGGAGGAGTCTGAGAGGGGCGGGTCCATGGAGTGTTATTAGGGCCAATTGGAGTATCCATCTGCTCGCTTCAAGCTTCCTCCACTTTCCACTTCTTCCCTGCCGCCTTCTCACAACCACAGAGCAGAAGGGATGTTAGACAGGGCAAGGGGACATTCACCCTGAACAGAGGTCCCTGGAAGTGAGCTGGAGCCTAGTCCCCAGTGGTCCAAGGGCTCCCTGAGTCCCACTATGGAGGGTAGCATGCAGGGAAGGATGGATGGACTTGACTCAGCCTGGCCCCATCCCTCCTCAGGATCAAAACACTGTCCAAAGAATGTGCCTCAAACAGCATTGTCATCATTAGTATATTGGCTGATATATGAAATGAAAATAAAAGTGGATACTTAGGCACAGTCAAGTCTAATATCTGAAAGAACAGATTGTATAAAAGCTGAAACTGCCTGTGAATAGACGTTTCTTTAGATTTTCCTCCCTTTAGACCCCTTGCTCATTGCATACCCACGGTGCCTGGCATATAGCAGGAGCTCAGTAAATATTTGTTTTTAAAAGTGTGAATAAATAGATGAGAATAAATTGCAACACAACCTGTGTATTAATATACTTGAGAATGGCATTTTCAAAAACTAATGAAATTAGAGTGCGTGTATAAGGTATTAATCCTAAGTACAAAACCTTTTTGGCTAAACTTGTGCTTTTATGTACTACCAAGTTTAAATTATCTCTAGTTGGTAGTATATTTGTAAGTACAGTTGACAGTCATCACTTTGTAGATGCTCAGAAAGGTAAAATGGTTTTATTAGTGGCTTCTCTTCCAGACCAAAAAAGTACATCTCAGAGCAATGGGTACATCGTTTCAATTATTCAGTGCTGATATCATCAAAACCCGCTTCTCTCCCCATTTGAACGTCCACACAACCCAAATGTCCCCAGTATGGCCCTCTTAGCAGGAAGTCATCTACCTTTATCAAACAGCTGCAGGTGTGTGCAAAGGAAACAAACGCAAGGAGTTTTTCTTTAACTAATGTACGTATCGAAATGCCTGTGGAGAAAGCTGCGATGAATTTCGATTAAAGATCTGCTACTTCATGAGGTAAATATACTTACAAATTTAATTGTTTCCGGTTCTGGAATTACTGACACTTTCCATTTCCCCAAGCAGCAGACCTAGTTTGACAAATAGAATTGACTCAGATTCTCCTTTTATTGATTTTGTTAAAATTGGACCTTTTCTGTCCTTTGGGGTAGAATTAATTTATCTTTCTTTTGGACTAGAGCTCAAGCAGTGGTAAATGCGATTAGGTCATGAAACCAGCTCTTAGAGTAAATTCTTTTTTTTTCTACTCCCTCACGGTACGTATTCCTACCTACTTGCCATAAGTAGGGAGAAGGTTTCCTTCTGGAGTCAGAAATAGAAACTCATCATGGGAGTGATGGACTTGGGTATTTGATTGAAGGAGGCAGAATCAAGATTCAGTGTGTTGGGCGGGGGATTGGCGATTGCTAATTTGGGGGTATGGTCCTACATTCATTATTAAATGCAATCTGTAAAATGATATAATAGTTTCCGTAAAGGTCCAGCTTGAAATCTGGTTCTCAAAACTATTTGATGTGTTTCAGGTACTGGATTCTAAAGTTTCCTGCAGAGTTTAATTTGGACCTTGGTTTGATCCGTATGACTGAGGAATTCCGAGAAGTAGCTAGTCAACTAGGATATGAAAAACACATCAGCCTCATCGACATATCCAGCATGTAAGAGTGTCACAAGCTTTTTTCAGACATGATGAGCCCACTGCATGGGGGAGGGACCAGTGATGACCCCACTTGACCTCAATCCATACCATTTCAGAATCAAGGTGTGCTTCTTTCAGGAAAGCCTTGCTGTGATGAGCACCATTGGATGTAGTTCATCTCTCCAGGGTTCTTTATTTGTAAAATGGAGATAGTACCCTACTCATAGGGTTATCATGAGCATCCAATAAGTACATAAGGTAGCATGTGAAAGCATTTGACACATAATAGATGCCCTGTACTGACTGAATCTAGTTAATGTCTCCTAGGCCCTTGCCACTCATAGTGTAGTCTATGGATTGGCAGCAGTGGCATCACCTGGGAGATCAATAGAAATGCAGGATCTCAGGTCCCATCTTAAACCTGCTGAATAGGAAACTGTGTTTTAATAAGATCCTGAGGTGATTCATATGCTCATTCAAATTTGAGAAGCCCTGGGCCGGCCGAGTGGCTCAGTTGGTTAAGAGCTCGCTCAAGAGTTTGAGCTCTGAGCAACAGCGGTTCGAGTCCAGTCCGAGCTGAGCAGCCTCTGAGCTGCCAACAGGTAGCAGGATGGCTCAGCTAAAAAAAAAAACAACAACAAAAAAACAAATTTGAGAAGCCCTGTATCATGGTGCATCTGAGGTCGGCCTGAGTCTATACAAATGTTGACCATAGTAGTGCTGTGGACTGGGTAGCTCAGTTATTAAGGAACGGTGCTAATTGGGCTAGTGTTTTATATCCACTAGTTAAGTTTGCACAGAGACAACTATTTTTTTACCTGAATTTTGTTTATCCATCTTGCAAATATATGCTCTTGTGTCCTAGCCATTCGTACTCTAGCCTACTTTCCTAGACTACTTCAAGTGTGATCAACAGTGAGTGATCCAGGAATCAGGAGGGATGTTGTTAAAAATATAGAATATTCAGATTCATTCCCAGTATATCAGCATCTCTGGCAGGGAGGCCCAGGCCTCTGTTTTCATAACAAGCTTTTCAGATCATCCATATCTTGCTGAAGCATGAGAACTAGCTTCTGGTGGTTCCCAAATGCCTTAAATCACTATTTTTTATAGTAATAAACTCCTGAATTTATATACCTGGCCCTGACCTCTGCCTTATGATCCAAGCCTTACTTGCCACAAGAAAGACCAAGTAAGAGTTTATGGATGGATCAGTGCAAACCCACCCTGTCTGGAAAAACGACTCGACGTTTATGTTCTGTTGGTGATGGGTCAGTGGTTTTCTCTTCAAATACGCAGGACAGGGCATTTATTTTGCACATGCCCCTGGAAGTAGGCCAAGCCTTACAGAGTCAGTAGGTTAATAACTTCCATTGAGTGAAACGAGCTTTCGGCACACTGACCAGACTCGCTCTTCTTTTATAGTCCTTCCTACGACTGGATGAGAAGAGTCACACAGAGGAAAAAAGTATCCAAGAAGGGAAAAGCCTGTCTGCTGTTTGACCATCTGGAGCCCATTGAATTGGCTGAGCACCTCACTTTTCTGGAGCATAAATCTTTCAGAAGGATCTCAGTAAGAAACTTGACATTTATTCTTCCAAGGATAACAACCATCATGCCAACTTTCCCAAGAGCTGCGTTTTCATACTCTGAAGTGCTGGCAGCCTCTGTCACTGTGCTCTATTGGAAAAGTGCCCTTAATTCACAGGAACAATCCCTTTCAACCAAAAATAAATATTATCCTGTCTTTATTTTATGGCTCAGGAGCTACATTGCTGTCGCTGTTTTCAATGTCTCCTTTCATAGGCTGAAAGCCTGATTTTCTAAACACTCAGTGGACATTTAACCATTCGAGGTTTATTTAACTCCATTGACTTCTCCTAAGTGAATGGGTTTTGCTAGTCCCCTCATTTGGGGGGAAGAAATATTTATTTAGGGTGGGATTTGTATGAATGCCTAATTATGGGTATAGGTTGAAAATAGAAAATGTAGGCTTTGAGGAGAATTTCAACATCAAGTTGTTTGTTTCCCAGAGATGAAAATCCTGAATTAAATTTTCTTTCTGACTCTGCCTCGACAGCATTTCTTCTCTACATCCCTTCTCTCTTTCCTCCTGTCTGTGGTCTCTTCCTCGCCACCTACTCACTACCCACTTGTTATGATAATATTTCCACAATGGTTTACAAGCAGCCTTTGTCTTTGTCTGGCCAAGCTCTGGGGCAGCCCCTCCTCCTCCTCTGAGATGCCAAGGAATGAATTGCATTGCTCCTTGCAGAGGACAACATGAAGTGAGAAGCATGGATTTCTGAAAGGCTGATGCTTTTCACTGTGTAATCTTTCACTTGGAGAGGACCTTACTGATTCCCTGCAGGCAGGCATGAGCTGGAACCCCCTGCACTGTTTATGTGATAGAAGGCTCATATGTATTTGATGACATCCATGCTGATTTCCTGAAAATGTGTGTGTTATGCTAAAGGGCTGCCTTCCTTCAATTACTACAATTTTTTTAATTGAAAAAACTTGACAAAATTGTGACTTGAAATGATTTTATTTATTTATTTCCTCTTCTTTAATGTATGCCATTGTATCTCAAACATACCTGACCATTAGAATCACAGTGTTGGGTGAAAAATGGAGATTCTTAGGTTCTTCCTCTGGAGATACTGATCCCTTAGGTCTGGGGTGTTCCCAGAAACCACCGTTTAGCAAATGTCCCAGGTGGGTATGATCCAGCAGATTTGGGACTCACTGGAATGTGACCTTAAGTCTTATCTCTTCCTTGCCCCACCAACATTGTTATAGGTAATAAGTATGTGTCTGTATTGGGGAGTGAAATGTAGCAAAATAGCACGCTAATGGTACCTGTATATTCAAATTTGTAAGATGCCATTATAAATGTGAAATGAAAGAAATTGTTATGTTATTCTAAAACCATATCTCACCTCTTTCATGCAACATTCTAATTTCTGATTTTGCAAAGACTTCATTATAATTCAGACTCTCTGAACCTTCCTTTACTAGTTCACTGATTACCAAAGTTATGTCATCCATGGCTGCCTGGAGAATAACCCAACTTTGGAGAGATCTATTGCTTTATTTAATGGAATCTCTAAATGGGTCCAGTTGATGGTTCTTAGCAAACCAAGTCCCCAGCAAAGGGCAGAAGTCATCACAAAGTTTATCAATGTTGCCAAGGTATGTGGGTCTGGTAATTACATTGGGGTTCTTTGAAAATTCTGGATGTTCATTCATTCTATTGAGACTAGCCATTAAGGAAATATGGGGTTCACAATATAAAGGACAATTAAACTATAAATATCTAATGAACAAATACTTTTCTCATTCAAGAAAATTAATTTTAATTGGTAATACTTACAAGCATTGAATGAAGCTATTTTTCTATGAAATGACTGATGTATTTTTGTAGTGGATTTTATTTGTACTTCATTTTAAATTTATGTTATTTTTCCTAGGTCTTTGTTATTAAATTGTGCATGCATTCACCTGTATTCAGAAAGCTCAGAATAATGGCAAAATTGTTACAAAGTATTGATGTTAACATTTTTTATTGCAGAAGCTCCTTCAGCTAAAAAATTTTAACACCCTGATGGCAGTGGTGGGAGGCCTTAGTCATAGTTCCATTTCACGCCTCAAAGAGACCCATTCTCATCTTTCTTCAGAAGTTACAAAGGTACAGTGGGTGTGATTTTAATCCCAAGTAAAAAGTTGATTTTTTAAACAAGTAAACTGTTTAAGGGTAGGATATGCTTAACAAATATCACTCAGAGGGGGAAGTTTTCTTCTTAGACAATGGCAGGGAATAGAAAGGGAATAGCCATGCCACCTGGAAAACATGTTAGAGATTGTGGCCCAAGTCCCAGTAAGAATATCTTAAATATATTAACATAGAGAAGTTGTAAATATTCAACAAATATGTATTTGGGGCTTCCTACGTGATAGGCACTGTGATTCACATGGTGCACAAGGCAGATAAGATCATTCCTCTCCTCTCTGCCTCAAATGAATTCATCAAACGCCTGCTCTATTCATGGCACTGTGTTTGACACAGCAGAAGATACAATGGAAAGGAGAGACGTAGTCCTTGTATAGAAATTCCTCCGATTTATAGCTGAGTTGTCAGGAGCAAAAGCATATTAAAAAAAACCCACCAACCCCCCCCCAAAAAAAACCAGTGATCATTTCTCAAATCAAGCTTTTCTGCCATGTTTATTTCTAGACCATAATAATAATATTTTTCTTTATTGAGCAGAGAGAAACATTTCATCCTAATGAAAAGATTCCCTTGTAAAGGTGTACTTTGCTGTATCAGTTAGGACACTCAGCTATAATTTTTTTTGGCTTTTTTTTTTTAAATCTTGAAATTGCTTAAATAATAAGGAAATGGATCATCTTCTCATACACTGGAAGGCTGACTTCAGGCATGGCCTGATCAGAGCTCAGGCTCAGTTGCTCTGCCTTCCTCTGAGTATCAGTTTTCTTTTGTTTTGTTTTTTCCATCAAATTGGCTTCCCTCCTCATTGGGCTATGTGCAGCAACAGAAAATTATGTTTTCTTGCTCATAAAAAGTGGAGAGAAGGAAAACTCTCTAGAGCTCTACCCCCATGGAATTAAAGACCTTCTTTTTAGACAGATTGGACCACCTCAAGTCACATGCCCACCCTTGGACCAATAACAGTTGCCAAAGGAAAACAATGTACTGATTGGCTTAACATGGTGTTCCTGAACCAATCACAAACCAGAGGGGTGGAATTATGATGATAGTAAATCAGAATCATCCTTGGACCTGAGAATGGAAACAACTCCATCTGAGTCACGTGGGCTGTTTTGGGAAAGAGTAGACTCATCAAAATTAGGGTCGGTTAGAAAGGTCTGGTTGCTCTTAGGCAACCAACAATAACTTGTCCATATAAACAGGAGGATGTAAACCACAGAAGTACTGCTGTCTGACCTCAAACACTGTACTCACTCCAAGTATGATGGGGCTCATTATGTAAATGTTTCATTTTCCTTTAGTTTTGTACTGAATTTCAACTAAAGAGCAAAACGCATTTTAAATGTTGTGAAGACTATGAATTCAACAGAAGCTCAACAAGACTTGGAACCAGCAGCAGTGTATCTTCAAAAATTGTTTATTTGAACTCTTTTTTCCTTACACATAAAAGAATTGAGACCCCCCAAAATTGAGGTGACTTGCTCAAGGTCACCCTTCTAATTGGTGGCAGAGTCCAAAATTACAGCTATCTCACACCTCAGTCTGACTTTTCCTACCCCATACTGTCCCAGATAAACCTTCAAACAATGTCTCCAAAGCAACTTTCTTGAAAGAATTAGGAAATTTTACTGTACTGCATACTTAATATAATACAATACTTGCTTATGCTTGTGAAGTGCAATATTTCCATTAATTGCAAAATACTTATATATACATGATACTATTTAACATCCCAACATCTGCAATAGGTAGGCAGCGGTGTGGGCTATTTCCATGTTGTAGCAGAATGGAACAGGCTGTCCAACTCATAGCCAGCCCTAGTATATTTGCCTTTCTTTTTCCTGGTTAATATTTCCTTGAATCAACATTGGTGCAATTGATACTTCTCTCAGTAGCTGAGGAATTTCCTTGCCACACACTGCAGGATTAGGGGTGGGCAGAAGGGAAGGCTGTCTGAAATCTCTACTTTCCATCTGTTCCCAGAACTGGAATGAAATGACTGAGCTGGTCTCCTCCAACGGCAATTACTGCAATTATCGCAAGGCCTTTGCCGACTGCGAGGGCTTCAAAATCCCCATCCTTGGCGTGCACTTGAAAGACTTGATAGCAGTCCATGTCATTTTCCCAGACTGGATGGAGGACAACAAAGTGAATATTGTGAAAATGCACCAGCTCTCCGTCACCCTGAGTGAACTAGTCTCCCTGCAGAATGCCTCTCACCACTTAGAACCCAACATGGATTTGATCAACCTGCTCACAGTGAGTCCAAGGGCCTGGGATTTATGCTAATAACTCTTTTGCGCCTCACTTTCCAACAAATGCAGAAGATCTGTGCCAGTAGTTCACTAGGGGGAGAGGTTGAATTCAGGGTCGCAAGGTGGCAGAAATCTCAAAGGATGAGGGGAGGGGACCCCACACACTCATAACCGCATGGCTTGAGACTAATCTCAGAACAAAGAAATACCCCTTTGCTTTGAGGAGCCCAGTCTCTGCCCGTTAGAAAGGCCCTCCAGAGCTGTCCTTAGCCTCTCCCTCTTCTTCATCACACTTCTGTAATTATTCACCTTGTTCTATATGTCCTCAGTGCATCTGCTTCTCTCTCTTTTTTTTTTTTTTTTTTAGCTGAGCCATCCTGCCACCTGTTGGCAGCTCAGCGGCTGCTCAGCTCTGGCCGGGACTCGAACCGCTGTTGCTCAGAGCTCAAACTCTTGAGTGAGCTCTTAACCAACTGAGCCACTCAGCCGGCCTTTCTGCTTCTCTTTATGCTCACTGCACAGCTGTCGCTGAAGCCTGGAGTGACAAGGACCTCCCCTGATCTCCCTACCACCCCGCCCGCCCACACATGCCAACCTCCTCAAGTTCCAGGGTATTGATTTGCGTTAGATTTTTCTTCTGTTTACGTGTCTTATACATAACATGTCCCCAGCACCTCTCATGATACCTGGCACAGAGAGGAGCTCAACAAGTGGACTGACTGCTGTATTTAGGAATGGTGGGGTCAGACAGAAGTTCACCCACCATTCATATTTTTCAGCATTTGTGGCACACACCTTTAGCTGGTCTCCAGGTCCTAGCACTTGAAGACACAACAGGTAGGGGGAAGAAGCAGAACCAAATTCTCACCCTTGCTTAAGCAAATGGAGGGGCAACTTCCCTGTTTAGGTTTGTAACACTGTAGCATTGGAAGCTTGGACATGGAAAATGAAAACAACCTTTCTGAAGCTCTGAGAGCCTAAATCCCCTAGGACTGCTGCACTGGAGTAAGAGTGTAGTTCCTAGACCTTCTCAACGACTGTTCCTAGAGCACATGATGGTTCACCAAAGGAGAGAACCCCTAAGGGGGTCCACAGTGATGCCAGCTGCACCCTTAGTGTAAAGCAGAAGTGGCCAAGACACAGAAACATGAATCTCTTGGGGTTGAGTTTGTGTGACAAACAGTAAACACTCAGACTTTCTCTATTGGGGGAAAAAAGTACCTCACAATAATCCAGGCACCTGTATTTATTAATCATTTGCCATGTAAATTTGTTTCCATGAATAAGAGACCAGAGCGGCAACCTCATATAGACTCCAAACCCACAGACAGACACAGGTGATGTCTGCAGACCAGCCTAGGTTTCACATGTCCAGGCTGTCTCCATGATGAGGAGGAGAATGTCACAGAGCAGGGGCCTACACTTCAGATAATTTCTCAGTCACACCAAAGATAATGACGAAGTAGGGAAGTTAATTCTGAGTGATAAATGCAACAAGCAATGTCATGACTGATATTTAGAGAAATATGGAAAGATTTTTGAATACAGTTTTTGGTGTGCAAATCAAAAATCAGAACTCCAGAAATAAAAGCTAAGAAATAATTTCTTTTTGCAGGGAAGAAATGGAAAAAGGGAAAGATGCAAGCTCAATCTCTCTGTCTCTCTCTCTCTTCTCTCTCTCTCTCTCTCTCTCTCTCTCTCTCTCTCTCTCTCTCTCTCTCGTTGAAAGAAAATTTACAAGCCATCATGCACAATATTTAGCAATGGTAGTGTTATATAATACAGCGTGGTGACAAGATCCTAGATGGGAGATCCAGCTTTCAGCCCTGCCTCTGCAATTGCTTAGCTTTGTCTCCTTGCTAACAATCCTTGACATTGGATTTTTCCAAAGGATTTTGTGTTCATTTGTGAGGTCACTTCCAGCCTAAACTTCTGTGATTCTAGATGTAAGGAATGGTGGAGACTGGAGAATAAAGAACCAAGTGTCAATGTGATTCTGTGGTTCCAGCCCAACTGCTTATCAGGATAGCACAGTCCCGTGTACGAGTACCGATCATCAAGCCAGTTTCTAATTAAAACCAAAGTCCCCCCCTCTCTCCTCACAACCAGGATTATATATTTATTCTTCCTGGTTACAGTTGCCTGTGGAGTAATCTCCTCAGAATGAGGATAGAGAGACTCCCATGAGGTGATTGCTTGAGTGCAGTGGGCATTTCATGAAGCACCTACATGCTGGGACTAGAACCACCTGATTGACGACAGCTGCCAAATGCATGTGAGGGTGTCTGTAAGTGCAGCATTTGAGGGGCAATTCATTTTGCTCCAAAACCCTAGTTCAAGTTTCTGCCTAAAGTGATTGCTTGCTTCTAAACATGGTCCCAGGTGAGGAAGCCAACATACAATTGAGAGCCCTGAAACACAGAAAGTGAGAAATTTTAAGTAATCAACAATTAATAAATGCCTTCTCTGTGCAATGGGCTGCGTAGCCATGCTTGAACTTCCTGTAATAGGTGATTACAGTTTTCGCAGCACTTTTCATATGTATTTTCTCAGTAAATTCTCATAGACACCCTGTGATGTAGCCCGGGCAGGGCAGAGAGTATAACATCACCCCTGCCCCTTCCTAGTTTATGAATGAATAGACTGAGATTCATAAAGGACAAAAGCTTGCAACTGGCAAACTTTTAAATCCCATCTTCCCAGCTTGGCCTCTCTCTCTCTCTCTCTGTCTCTCTCTCTCTCTCTCTCTCTCTCTCTCTCT